CAAACAGTCCATGGTGGTTGTGTGCAACAGCTCCTGACAACCAGCTCGACATGTACGTCTGCCGTCGTGCGGAAACATGATTCAGCGGACTTGCAAACAAGCTCTGCCGCAGCGCGGTTGGCACGACGCTTCCAGATGCTTCAAGAAAAAGGCCATCACGGCCTGAAACAACGCGGCAAGGCTCGTTGCAGAGCAAGAGTCTGCACAGCACGTCGTGCTGAGGTAGGAGGTGAGCTCTGCTGGCCACTAGGATCAACGCAAGGCAGACAAGTGAGCACGTACGCATGCAACAACAAGCGCTGAAGAAACGTTAGCTGGCAGGATTGGGACTATATTATATATATATATATATATGTATATATGTATATATATATATATATATCAGCATCCGCACACTTTGCCATCAATACACACCTGGTCAACATGCGAGGTTGAAGGCCAAGGTCGCCAGGAAGCTGCATATGAAAAAAAGACACGAAAAAGGCAAAACTGGCTTCATGGATTCATGGTGGAAAGCCATACCTAGGCTTGTTCTCTTTGAAGTCATCGTCAAAGTTAGGCGGATTAGCATTTACACATACATCGGCGCGCACGCGCTACCGCTAACGGCTAACAACTATGAAGTCTTGGACACTTGCGGATGGTCTCGGTTCAATGTAGTTTGCTGGCTGTTCGACAAAGCCAAGAGCCGGAAGGATCCAAGTAACAGGCAGAGCGCCAAAACACATGCAAGTACAAAAGCATTCTTTGCAGCAAAATCTCTGCGACTCAGCAAGCAAACCAAGCCTCCACTGCCAAAGACCCCGTGCGGCCATTTGCCCCCACCACAGCGACCACTGGCCTTTGCAAAGTACAGTCCCTCGATGCAGCATTCAAGCAAGGTCAGTGTGAAGCCTATCAGCGGCTGCAGCTCTTGTGACTGTGCGTGGGCAGGATCTTCCGAATCGACCCGAGCTGTTGACGAAAGCACCTTGGCTACCCCTGCTTCATTGCCAAAAAAAGCCAACCAGCTTAACAAGGCTCAAGCAAGCTCATGCACAGCATCAGTGATATTCACTTGAAATCAAGGCTCAACTGAAGCCGACGAAGAGAACAGTAAGCAGGAAGCAGGCCTGCAGCACGGCTCCCAGAATGTGTTCAGCAACCAGATTGCAACTAAACAAAAGCACTGACCTTTAAAAGCTGATTTGCTGTGATTCCCGCCTGAGACTTGGGCGCAGCCATGTTCTTTTCGGATGAATGCGCTGATTTGCACGTTTGATCTGTCAAGCGTGTTGATGCATTTCCTCATGCTGTCAACCCTGGGGCAAGACGTGTACTGCTCATATGGGATTCCATGTCACTATGGTGTGTCAATGTGCCGTGGGCAAAGCCCGCATTCTTTCAACACGAGCACAGCCACATGACCTCAAAGGATTGCGCGCGGGGTTGTTGAAGAATGCGCGGTCGGAATACATCTTGCAGAACAGAACTTCACGGAAATCATCCAGGCTTGAACTCCATGTCCCTGGACGGCTTCAAATCAGGATTGACAAGCCCAAATGTGACCATTCCAGTGACAATAGCAATAGCAATTACACTAGGCTGGGCACAACAAAAACAACCCACAAGAATGCAGCAGCGGCAGCAACAGCAACAGCAGCCCTCCAACCTTAGACCCAAATCCCCTTGCCACTAACCTTGCAACAGTTAGAGGAGACCATGCCCAGTTTTCCCTTAGCTATGTCCCCGCGCGCCAAGGTGTAATATATAATGATAAAATGTTAAGATTTATCATTATACATTTCTCATTGTTCGTTGTTGTTCTGTTCTGTGCTTTGTTTGAGGTTGTTTTGATGTGTCAGGGATTTTTCGTGTTGAGATGTTTTATATTTTTAGAGTTCATAATTACACACAGGGCAGGTGATAATAATGTCCTTCTTTGCTTTGAAATATTCCTTATTATTTTCTGCAATTTCTTCTTTGTGGTTCTGATAGTATTGTTTCTTCGTTTCTTGGTGTGATTCCCGACATCTATGATATCTATTTCTACCCTTTTCTCTACATGTGGTACAGCATAAGAACCCTTCTTCAAAAGCGTCTATAGGTCTATTGGTTTGACGTTTTCTACAAAATTGTTTTTCAATTTCCGCCATTAAACTATATAGGTATTTTCCCTTTAGGTGTTTTCTTCGGGCATTTGTCTATCTTGGAATTTACAAAATATGTTCAAAAATATAGGGGCAAGGTTAGATTTTCAATAAATAAATTTTCAAAACCTGATTTTTCAAAAAATGAATTTTCAAAAATATTATTCCAAAAATTATGATAAATTATTTTACAATATGTGAATCATAAATTTTGTAGAAATGTTATGGGCAAGGTTAGGTAGATAGAAAATACAAGCTTCAGAAAAATCATGAAATGTGTATGGAAAGATGGGGAAGGTCCAGTGCGTTCAATCTAAGGTATTAAAGGTTTGATTTTGTGCATGGTTGTTGTTAGGTTCTGTTGTTGGTTTGTTTTCTGTTCTTTTTTGCTTTCTTTAGTTGCTTTGGCTTTTTCTCTACATTCCTTGCAAGTTTTGCAAAATAATTCTGTCATATTCACTCTATCATACATTTTATGAAAGTCTCTTCTGGGTTTTGCTTCATCACATCTACTACATGGATAAACCATAGTGCAACCCAAATCTTCTTCAGCGTCCGAATGGCTCATAATATTATACTATTAATATTTCTTTAAATACGTTATTTACACGAAACAACCTTTAAGGTAATGTATGAACCATGTTTTTATTATAATTACAACATATAAGATTTTACATGCTATAATTATACTATGAGTTCAACTTTATTAACTGTTTGTTCCAAACTCAATTTAGTTAGCGATACAGTGCCCTGTCTCGCATTTTGACACAAAAACCCCGGCCTTGGGAACTCAACTATTAAAAACCCCAGCCTTAGGAACTTTGTCAGGGAACTTTGTCAGAAACTTCCCAAGCCTTGGGAACTTTGTTAGGGAAGTTCTTTCCATCAACAACTGGGTAGTCTCTGTGGTGTTTCAATATGTTTCCCATTCCTAACCTTCCCACAATGGTCGGGGTCTGAGCCTGTTCCGCTAAACATCTCTAATAAGTTCCTTATTAAAGATATTTAGATAATATTATCTATGAATAAATCCCTGTTTCCTCGTTAAAAACTAAACTATGTTTAGTTTTCAATGAGTAAACGCATCTTTATGAATAAAGTTGCGTTTCCTCGTCATAGTCAATTTGATAAAATGTCATAGTGGAAAACTTCGGTTCTTTAATTTCTTTGTTATTAAGTTTGTTTAAATATATGTTTCTTTTATTTTAATATTCGCCACCGGTTCGATCTACTTCCTTACTTTGATAATTGTTTGTTGATGGTTTCTTCTTTTCCATTTCTTGTAAGATGTCTAAAATATTCTTATTCTGTTCTAAAACCTTATTCAGTTTTTAACCATCTTTTCTAATCCTTCATCCATGTAAATATATACATATATATACTATATTATATAATAAAACTTTTAAAACTAAACTTTTATTTTACAAAATCATATATCATTATAAGTCAATTCAAAACTAGTTATTGTGTAACTCGTTAAATTATTATTCAATTTACCAATTAAATTACAAATAATAGTTCTAAATTTTGAATATGTATGAAACTTTTCAATATTTTCTGTGATATAAATTAAAAAACATTTAATACATTCAAACACATTAACAACATTAATGTTACTATTTTTGTAAATATTATTCATTTTTCTCAATGTAACTTCATAAAACTGAATAGCATTTTTATTATCATAATTAGCAATAAATCTTAAAGTATATGAATATATTCTTTTACAATAAAATTTTAAATCTGATTGTTCAAATAAATCAGCATAATTAATAGAATTATAAAACATGTTAAAATCAACTTTACTATTTCTAAAGTCATTAACAAAATTAATTAACATATGATTTTCGTTATATTCTTCAATAAAATTACTTAATTTCAATTATTTTACATCAATGAATTTAATAATACTATCTATAACATCTTGCATTATAAATAATAATAGAAATAATTTTAGCTATTACTTTTTCATCATTTCGCGTATAGTTTCCTGAGTTTCCTTATCGCCATTATCGGATGGAGTAACCCCCCTCCCAAAGCGTATAGCAATATTATGAACATCTGTTTCTAAGTTGATACTGTCTTTAGTTTTATCAATATTCATTTTATCATTTTTACTTATTTTGAAACTTGTCGGAATACACGAGCATTTACAATTTCCTTTCTTTTGTATTTCTAATTCATTCTTCATTTCTAACATCTTTTTACACATCGGACAAGCAAACTCAATAACTGGTGTTTCTTTAACAATTTCTTTTTCTTCATCAGTTGAAGAAACAACTGGTTCAGTCTTATTCTTTTTCTTTCTTCCCAGTTATATTAATATTTACATTTTTATTTTTGATATATTGTATAACAAACTTAATTAATTCTAAAACAAAATAACATTTTTTTTACATCTATTATTAGTTATAACAACTTGTTCTATATTTTCTACTTCATTTATTATATCAATATAATCTGAATAACTTCTATCCATATTAAACAGTAAGATGAAATAATTATTAAAACAATTATCTGAACTTATCATTTCATGCACGGTACAATATTGGTGGGGCACAGCACTTGGGGTTTTCTTTACAATGCATCAAACTAATTAGCTTCAATGCTTTATTGATTGAAGCAATGGACGCATCGGCGATGCCTCGCGAAGCTTCGCGACAACCTGTTCCATTTTTATGATATTCGCCACCAGCATATCATAAAAATGATGGTCGCGTTAGCACGTGAGGCTCGTTCCTCGCGTCCATTTAATATTAAATAGAATATTTATTTAAACTATTTTCTTTAGTAATTTTATTGCAGTTGATAGACTAACATCTCTAATATTAAAATCAATAACTTCTTGTACACTATTTATCATTTCATTTGTATATATAACGGGATAATCTTTCATAAAATTTACTAACTTTCTAAAATTTAGGTTATTGTCACTTTCAATTGATGATTTGGATACTATAGCATTTTGTTTTTAATTGCCTCTAAAAAGTATAACATCATATCATAAAATATTTGATTAGTTTGTGGCACTAAGATATCGCCAAATCTATATATAATCTGAACACTATCTACTTCACTTAAATTAACAGATTCTATTGACATTATGATATAATTATATTATATATATTTTTGATATGTATTTATAATATTACTTTTATTATGCCTGATGTAACACCAATTGATGAAATCAAATATGACTTTAAGCAAAGTGAGCACGACGTTGTCCCTAACTTACCGATGAGAGCTATGATCGTCGGTCCATCTGGAAGTGGAAAATCAACTCTACTTGTATCAATGATACTTGATATTTATAGAGGTGCATATGAAAGAATTTTTATCTGGTCCCCATCAGTAAATTTGGATAGTATTTGGTTGCCTGTTAAAAAATACATTAAAGAAGGTTTGAAAGTAGATACTGATAAAGAACCGTGTTGGTGGGATGAGTTCAATGTTGTAGATATAGAAAGAGTTATAGAAACTCAAAAAGATAATTGAATATCAGAAAAAACAAGCAATGAAGAAGTTATTTAATATATTAGTTATATTGGATGATGTGTCTGATAATCCAGCAATAACAAGAAATAATAAATTGCTAAATTCTTTATTTTGCAGAGGTCGTCATAGCGGAATATCAACACTTGTAAGTCTTCAAAAGTCATCAACCGTGCCACCAATTATTATTGTAAATATAAGTCATTTGTTTTACCATAAAGTTAGAAATGTTAAAGAAATAGAAATATTACAAGATGAATTATCAGCAATTATTAGAAGCGATAATTTACACGAAAGCAAGAAACTAATTTATGAAATATATGAGACCGCCACTGATGAACCACATAGTTTTTATATATTAACCTTTTAGAAAAGAACCCAGATAAAATGTGTATGAAACAGTTTTCTCAATAATTGAAAATTACTAATTAAATATATAAATATATTAATATTATATGACATTTTATGATTTGCCATTAGATATTAAAAAGCTTGTAGTATCCTATAATTTAGGTGATGTTAAATTATTAAAATAAAAAGTAATAATATTATTAGAAATTAAATTAATACATGTAAACCAGTGTATAAGTCTTACAAATTAAATAATATGCAATATTTTGAAATTGATAATATCAATATTAATAA